CCCCTGGTGCTTCCAGCTGCCCCTTGCGTGGGCTGAACACACAGCTGTAGCCAGAAAAATCCCACAGGCAGAAAGTGGTAGCTATTTGCAGCAAGAAGCCATCTGTGCACAGAAAAAGGGCTAATGCTGAGAGTGTGGAGATGGCCACCAACAGAGCCGGAGTATCTTAATGAGAGGAGCACGCAAGAACGTCGATCCTTACACACGACTGTGAACCATGTTAAGAAATGCACGGCTTAATTGGTTAAGTAGAAATCAGGTAGGAACCTGCTGTACAATAAACAGTATCTTGCTCTAAAAACTGAAAAGCACTATAGGAATAAATCTATTTATTTCTTCACTTATTACTTAGACTGTGCGCCATCTGTGGCCTAAGTCTAATGATTAAAGGAATTATTTTTCTCAATGGGAAGATCACTCTGGTTCTTCATAAACTTCCAGAGTCTTCCTGTTCAGCTTTAGTGGAAAAACCAAAAGTGGTCAGGTATATATAGCATTAGGGAATTTAGACAGATGATAGATAGATGACAGAATGGCAGATATGAGATAAACTATTTATACATAAAATACAGATCTCTTAACACTTTTTTAATTTAATGAAAGAAAAAAACCTAAATGAAACCAAAGGTACTGTTAACTTTAAATAAATCTTTCTTTAGCATAATGTATTATTTTTCTAATACATTCCTCTCAGGTTAAGAAAAGGAATTATGAAATCAATTAAGAATTTTGCATCATTGAATTTTTTAACGAGATCATTCAACTTAAGATCATATCAATTCTCTTTTCTCTGACAGATGAAGTCATGAGCATGGTATCATTTCTTTTGTTCCACCTCATGATTTTTGTCAGTTATATCTTTATACTGTCAAGATATAACAATTTACATTCTTTTCTTTGGCCTAATCTTCACAATTATGCAATGTTTACTTGATATTTAAGTGAAGGCAATACTCCTCACCAGTCCTTTTACTGTAGCTCCTCCATTGTTAGACTCTTTTTTTTTTTTTAAGATTAATTTATTTATTTTAGAGAGCCCGGGAGGGGCAGAGGGAGAGGGAGAGAATCTTAAGCAGACTCCGGGCTGAGTGGGAAACCTGAAAGAGGGCTTGAACCCATGACCCTGAGATCATGACTGAAATCAAGAAATCAGACGCTTACCTGACTGTGCCACCCAGGTGCCCCTAGACTGCTTTAACTTTTAGGTGGCTGAAGTTCATGGATAGGCAGTTTTTCAAGAAGGGCCCTGGAGCACTAGTAACCCTTGACTTTTCCTTCTTCCTTTTTTTTTTTTTTTTTTTTAATTTGCCTTTATTCTCCAGTGAATGTTGGCTGGGAATAACAAGCTTACTTCATACTTTCCTTTTCAGAGCTACTTTGTAACTTTGTAGACTTTTCTCTCTTCTGGTAGAGTATTGATTGTTGCTATGAAGTAGTCCACACCAGCCTAAAGTTTTTACCTCTGTAAATGGCTTGCTCTCAGCCTAGGAATTTCTAGGATATTTCTCTTATTCCAGAAGTATTGGTATTGAACACTTTGTATCCATTTTCTAGAACACCTTGAGGGAATTTTTCAATATGCATTTATCTTTTCCTTTCTTCATTTCTGTACGATAATGCTGTCACTGCCATGTGGGAAGAGCACCTTCTCCAACTTTGCCTTTTTCTTCCTATGAGCCATTTCCACTAGACGGTAGTCGACAGACAAACAATAACATCACCCACCACATTCATCTTTCTCCACACCTGGGTCAGGATTCCATGGACTTTGGAGGAAAGATAAGTGAACTTGCCATGCTCTGTTGTAACCTTCTATTTTGTTCCCTCTGCGGTTTCCTTTTCCTTCCTTAGCTACCACTTTCTGACGTTAATGGCATTGAGCTATTTCTATTGATGATGATCTTTCTGGCCCTTTACTATTTTTGTGACACTTCTTACTAGGAGGCAGTTTTATTCTTCCATCTTAACATAGAGATGCCCAGAATTTATATTTTCTAGGCTCCCTTAGCTAATTCATATGCTCTCAAAGGTCAATCAGTGATTCATGTATTTCTGTGCCAAATTCTACTTGCTATTCATCACTTAGGATATACTTATCCTTCTGAGACTCAGTGTGACTTTATCTGCAAAAGAATAAGATCTTCCCAGATGCAACATATTTTGAGGTTGTAACAATGAGAAAAATGAGTTAATGTGCAATAATATATTTCAGAAAACTTTCTCATGCTCAAGAGAAAAGATGTTATTATTGTGGCTCTCAAAATCTCCTCACATGAACTAAAGACTTTACTCAAGGATTTAGTCTTTTTCACCTGTTTGGGTACTGTAGTGACTAAACTAGTTACCAGATTTCTCAGAACTTTTTATTCTCTATTGTATCTTATTGGAATAGCCATTACAGTGGATAAGTTGAAAACTCCCTTTTCTAATTTTTTTTTTTTGTAAGACCTTAAAACCTTGAAAATAGTTATTCATTCCAGATTGGAATAAATAACATGGTTATTTTTAAATGGTTCATTCTTTTTTTTTTTTTTTTTTTTTTTTTTTTTTTTTTTTGGTAACCTGAAATCCCACCATAAGGGAAGATGAAGCACCTAAAAAAGAGAGTTGGGGGCAGGCTAGGGGGGAGATGAAGCCCAGAAGGCAGGAAGTTGTTTTGTATCGATTTACAATACTGTCCATACTGGATAGATTATTCCAGAAAAACAAAGTAACATAAAAGGATTTCTCTCTTTGGTCTACTCCAGGGCCAGGCAAAGCAAGAGATGAGCAGCTGAACACACAGAACTGGGAGGCCCATGTCTGCTTTGCCATGTCGTAAATCAGGAAGCTAAAAGACATTAAATAAATACATAAATATTCCTATGAATCCCAAAAACCAAAAGCTGTGTGCTGATTTATGATAATAGCCCACTGGTAACCCATCTTAATCCTATGCCACATGAAGCTCGATAGGCCCCGTTCAAGGCCAATAACTTTATACTGAGAGAGGTTAGCAAGAGTTTAACAGATGGATTTATTTTTACGGCTGAACTTCCTTAGGATTCTGCCAATATGGCCCCAACCTACTGGGTGCAGGTGTCGCTCAACTTTCTTTTCTTCTTTCAAGAATTTCTCAATCTCTGTGTTCCCTGCTGTAGATGTTCCATCTCACAAAGATCATGAAAGACACTCCACATTCTAGATCCACTCACCTTTACTTCCTGAGATCAAAAGACCACTTTGTAGCACACGTCATTTCCCTTTCCAGCCTCAGGAACTGCCATCCCACTGGCTCACAGTACAGGCCCAGGGAAGAAACACTCTCAGGATCATGATATCTAGGGGTTTGGGAAACTTGGGGTGCCTCATGGTGCCAAAAGAATGTAAGATACATGTATGAAATGAGCCACACAGTGGGGTATAGAAGTGACAACATATTTCAAAGCTGGATATATTTTATTTACAAATAATGTTTAGATACTGAAGTTAATCAGATGTTCTCAAAGATCCTCAATGAATTAGCACAGACACACCAGAGAAGAAAGATAATGCATTTATGTATTTTCGCCACATGATATGACAGCAAGGTCCAGGACTGTTTATAACCAGAAAGCTTAGTACGCATGGTGCTAGATCACTTGCAAACTACAAGCATTGGGTTTACTTTTTATAGTAAATCCTTCTGAATGATTTACCTTACTACTTTCATTCCCATTATCTACAGACTGTGCAATCATACCATATCAATTATATGACTTCAGATCAACTTAAACTCATTCTTCGATTATCATGAGTTCTGCTAAAAAATATTTATAAATAAATCACACTTAAATTTTAACTCCCTCTGCTCCCTCTCATAGCCTTTCTTCCTGTGAAGTTTTTCCAGCTGTGAATCATGTGAGATAATCTAAGAAAACTGATAGGAGAGTGCTTCCATTTATCTACTATAATCAATAGTATCCATTGTGGAAAGGATAACATACTGGGAATTCTAGAAGTATATCTTAATATCAGTCATACCATATATGCTGATACTGGCTTTAAAAAAAACCTATCAAATGTAGACATTAATATTCTGAAGCCGCAGGGTTTTTACTAAAGGCCAAATTCTTTCTCTGTCTTCAGTAGCACCGACTCAATGACTGTTGTGAAACCCAGACTGTGGGATTGTGATGACTCTAGAAAGATACGCATTATGGACATAGGAGTGGAGCCAAGGTCATACCATTGCTATAATGATGGCTTTTTTCATATACACATATATCTCCATAACCGCATCGTCCAAAACACGGTTACTTTATTGTTCCCACTCTATCTTCAGGCTTCAGAGAATTAAAAATTGGTTTTTCCCATTTTCAGTGTTATTTATTCCTGATATGTATGATTTTCATGACTTCAAAAATATAATTTTAATTTGTGGGTGGGAAAAGAAAAGCTCCTATTAGAAAGGTACTAATGCGACGACATAGCCTGATGATAACGTAGTGTTTATAAATGGAATCTATGGTTCTGGTTGCTCTTCATGGGGCTTCGAAAAAACAGTCATTGGCAACTCACGCATCTAGATCTATCACTTGTCTTATTTTAATTTTAGATGGAAAAAGAAATCCTTATTTCCAAAGGATTTCTGCACAGAGAATAAAGACCAGCTATCAAATCATGGAGAGAACGGAGACCAAACAAACAAACAAACAAAAACCTGAGTCCTTTAAAAGTTAAACTCTTCCTTTCTAAAAAGTAATATAAATATATGCCTTGTAAGATCCTGAGGGACTAAGTCTTAGAATTTGCCTTTGCTCCATTTGATCTTTGACCTGAACCCAGTGAAGCCTTCAATTCCATATTTGAAGTTGACAAACCCTATTCCTTCACCTTTCCAGCATGTCTTTTTAAATTCAAAGAACACAGTACCATACTCAGTATCTCAGCAAAAAGGGGCGCTGTTTAAACTCACAGAAAGGTGCGTAAAAAGCAAAAGTAAATAAGCAAGACAGAATCTCGGCCAGGGCAGGGGGGGAACTTAAAAATAAATGGTGCCGCAAAACTACTTCTGCAATTACAGTGTCCTGTTTGGGCCCACTCCTTCAGAGGCACTGCATTAATATAAACAGAATCATCTAACGCACTTTTTCAAAACAGTGCATCTCAGCCAAGGGCTAGCGCGAGTTCGTCCTACTTCTAGGTGCCGATGACACTTTGGTTTGCTTTACTGGCAACATTTTGGCAACGCATCCTATACTAAGAGGAAGGCCGGAAACCAAGCAGGTGACAAGAGCCCAATCGATGGTGTTACTTCTTTTCGTGCTTCTTGGTTAATTCCCCGACGCCCAGCTGGAGGCTGCCCCGGCTGTCACGGGCTCTGTCCCCACTCTGCCGGCTCTCCTGGGAGACTTGCTGCACGGCCTGCAAGATGGCATTCTGCACAATCTGTTTGCTGGCTTTCTGCAGCTTCACCTCTTCTGGCTCGCTTCCAGGTTTCTCACCTAGCCAGAAATAGGAAAGGGGGGTGGAGAACAAAATCAATTTCAGGAACGGTTACAGGAAGGAGCAGGGAGGCAAGGTGAGACCCTCAGAAGGTGCTACAGTGGCCCCGTTAATTGTGAGGAGCCCTGCTCCTGTCATACTGCTCCTGGCTCCCTCTCCATTTGTTTGCCTCAGTTGGGTGTCCATTATACATTCTCGCCACCTCAGGATCCTCTGCAGCCAGCAGGTGTCATGAGAATACAGTCCTGGCCAGTAAGGACCTCTGGGAAGGTTCTGGAAAGAGACAGACTCGTGCCCCTTTTGGCCTTTGACACCTACCCCTTCTTCTGAGGCAGGATGCAGACCTAATGTTTTTAAGCATGGAGATGGAAGTCAACATTCTGCCATGGTTGGGGAGAAAACAAGAATCCAGTTCTGAAGGCATCATTCAGCATCCACACCAGCCCCAGACCATGTACTTCTGGACTTCTTTGTGTGTGAGATAAATAAACTCCTTGTTGTTGAATCTGCCACGAGTAGTCATGTTACTTGTATGTAATGTATGCTGCCTAAGAGATTTAATTTCACTGGGGCTGGCGAGTAGATTGTTACTGAATCTATATTAGGCTCAACCCTGCTCCTATAACATCCCAAGGAATGAAACCATTTGTTCATCAGAATCTGTCTTCCATGATCTAGAACAGGGTTGGCATACTTTTTCAATAGGACCAGATAGGAACTGTTTTATACTTGGGGACCATATGATCTCTGTGGATCATGACAACTACTCAGCTCTTCTTGTTGTAGCATCAAATCCACTATAGACAATACAAAAATGAATTCATATGGCTTTGTTTCAATAATTCGTTACTTATAAAAAAACAAGCTGTGAGCCAGGTTTGGCCACAGTTTGCCAACCCCTGGTGTAGAATGGCAGGAATTTTCTAATTAGAAGGCAGGCAGTCTACCTACCATTGATTGTTCTCCTTCTTTCCTAGCTAAAAACGAGACAAAACCTTGATTTCATCCAGGCAACTATGTAAGCAGGTATAGCTAAGTTCTGACCAATGAAGTGAAAGTTCATTTAGTAAACAATCTGGAAAAGGTCTTTACAAGGAAACAGGCAGACAATGGCCCTCTGCCCTCTCCCCATCCCACTGCCTGCGACTCTGACACGATGAGTGTCACTACAGGGGGTTTTGCTAACCATGAGGGAATCTTTAGAATAGAAACCAATTTTAAGGGATTTACAAAGAAAAAGTTAGAAGGAGCCTGAGAAGTCAATGACCAAGAGCCACATGTCAATCCTTGGCTGCCCACCTCCAGCCTGCTCTCATGTTAGGAAAAAAAAATACACACACACACACACACACACACACACACACACACACCCCTTGCCGTGCCTGGGTGCCTCTGTCGGTTAAGCCTCTGCCTTCGGTTTAGGTCATAATCCCATAACCCTGGGATCCAGCCCGGACTGAGCTCCAGATTAAGCCCCAGATCAAGCCCTGGGTTGTGCTTCGTGTTCAGTGGGGAGTCTACTTCTCCCTTTCTCTCTGTTCCCTTCCCCCCAACACCTCCGCGTCCCCGCCCCCCGCCCCCCGCGCCCCCGCCGCCATTCCTGCTCTCTTGCCTTCGTGCTCTCTCACTTGCTTTCTCAAATAAATAAATATTTAAAAAAAAAAAAGAGAAAAATACATATTCTGTTTGATACACTGATGCAAATATATCTTATTGATGCATTTGGGGCTTTCTTTTATTATGCAGATACTTATTACTAACTCACGCGTGGCAGAATGATCATGAATCTAACATTTGACTAAAGAGCAATCATGAAAATTTTAAGTTCCACCTGCTTCTATTTAGTGATAAATAGAATGGGCATCATTCGTTATGCAAAACCATCATTTTGGATGTTCCCTCTATTCAAATATGCTGCTACCATGAGAATGTATTTAAGATGGGAGGGTGTCCACCGGGACTGATTCACTGACAATGGAATTCACCTACCCAGGAGAAAAACATCACGTAAGAGAATACTGAGTCACTCTGGAAGACTAGGCAGCTCTTATCCCTTGAGACAGAGAGTTGTCATTATTTAGCCACATTTATATCACAAGCATAACTTCCTGAGGGATTTACAGTTTAATGAACAAAGTAAGATGAATCTATTCAAAACCAAGGGACAATCCTCACCTCGCTCCCCTCCAAAAAAGGAGAATAAATGAGCATTCTGCACCAAACTAAGCAGAAAAGCAATCAAAAGCTACAATGTGTAAGGGACAGAAACTTTAAATTAGCTGACAAGAATGCTTCAAAAATACTCTGTCTAAAAAGAAAAAGAAAAAAAAAAAAAGACTGAACAGTAATACCAAAGTATGCTAGGGCACGAAGATTTAGAATCTGTGTTTTGAAGCCCTTCAGAGCTGTATCCAGGTTCTTTCTACCGCTTTATAGCCTTACCATCTTGGGCGAATCATTTAGCCTCTGTAAGCCTGTGTGTACATCTGTCAAATGAGCAATTAGTATCTATTTTAGGAGAGTTGCTAGAAAATTAAGTGACATGACACTTATTCAGCACTCAGTGTGGTTCCTGAGGACTTGGTATGCACCACTGTGTATCAGTTAGAGCATCAACAAGGCTATTGTAACAAAGAAACTAAAAAATATAGGAGAAAACTCAGGCAAGAAAGTGATATTTATTTGCTCTCCCTTGTATCAACCCAGAGAGTCTCCAGGGTGCAAGTGGCTCTACTCCACTAGGCTACTGAGGGGTCGGCTTCCTTCTAGCCTATCATTCTGCCATGTCCTGCTATACTCACCTCATCTGCATGAGTTGAGCTCGTTAGTCAGTATCCCATCTGGGGCTGGAAGGTAGTCAAAGGGAAAGTGAAGAGTAAGTGATTTCCTTTAAAAAATTATCATCTAAGTTGCAAACATCACTTTGCTCACATTTTACTGGGGGAATCTGAGTCATAAAACCACACCTGGCCACCAGGAAGCCTAGGAAATAATTGCAAACTGGGTGGCCACAGGCCCTCGTAAAACTCAGGGAGGTTCTAATATTAACATGAAGAAGCAATTACATACTTTTTGAAATTACTTCTGTGCCATGGCCAAGGCTAATTTGAAGAGGAAGAGTATATATTTACAGCAGGGCAATATGAAAATCGGGGAGTTCTGCCTACTACCACTCTAGAGCATAAACGTGTAGACAAACAGAAAAGCTATAAAGGTTCCTGTTTGCTCCTGGAAAGAGTACCTTAGACAAGCTACACATGTTTTAGCTCTAAGATGTCCCTGTTGTACAGCTATTTTTCTGTCTTTGAATGGAGGAAGGAAGAATGTAAGGATGAGAGTAAGCTGATTCCTTAATAGGAGAAAGAGAGAGAGAGAGAGAAACACTCTAAACTTAGCTGTGACCTAGTATCTGAGCTAAACTGTCACATTCTCATCCATCCATTATAAAGATAAATTGATTACAAAGTCAAAGGCAGCCCATGCCATGCTGTGTCTAGAGTACCCCTTGGGTGACCTGAAAGGTGGGTAACCCTCACAGCCCTCATCAACACTTTGCCCTGGGTTATGAGTATCTGTAGTGAAGAGAATAGGACAAAAAGAGTGGCAGTTAACTAGGACAGAGAAAGTGAGGAATGGAAAATGAGGGTAAAAGCCAGGCAGAGCACTTGGACAATAACAGAAAGACAAAAAAAAAAAAAAAAAAAAAAGAAAGAAAGAAAGAAAAAAAATTACAAAAAACTATAAAGACCCTAAATATCAAAAGCAATCCTGAGAAAGAATAAAGCTGGAGACATCACACTTCCTGATTTCAAGCTGTATTATAAAGCTACAATCAAAACAGTATGGTACTGGCATAAAAACGGACACCCAGACCAGTGGCACAGACTGAGAGCCCAGAAAGAAACCCATGCATATACATACATATATAATCAACTGATATTTGACAAGGGAGCCAAGAATACTCAATACTTTTCAAGAGAAAAAGTATCTTCAATAGATGATATGGGAGAAATTGAATAATCATATGGAAAAGAATGAAACTTGATCCCTATCTCACACCAGTCACAAGAAATTAACTCAAAATGGATTAAGAACTTGAACACCTGAAACCGTAAAACTCCTAAAAGAAAGTATGAAAAAAGCTCCTTGGAATGGATTTCAGTGATAAGTTTTGGGGTGTGGCACCTAGAACACAATCAAAAATAAACAAAGTGGTACTACCTCAAATTAAAAAGCTTCTACACAGCAAAAAGAATGATCAACAGGTAAAAGGACAATCTACAGAAAGGGATGGAAAGGGTTAATATCCAAAATACATTTTAAAAAACTTATACAACTCTATAACAAAAAATCAAATAACCAATTAAAATGGGCAAAGGACCTACATAAACATTTTCCAAAGAAGATATACAAATGGCCAAAAGGTACATGAGAAGGTGTTCATTGTTAATCATCAGGGAAATACAAATCAAAACCACAATGAGATATCGCCTCACGCCTGTTAGAATAGTGAACATCAAAAAGATAAGAGGTAAATGCTGGTGAGGATGTGGAGGAAAGGGAGCCCTAATGCAGGGGGCGAGGGGTGCAGGGAGATCGTAAACTGGTGTAGTCACTATGGAAAATAATACGAATTTTCCTCCAAAAATTAAAAATGGAAATACCATGTAATCCAGCAACTCTAATTCTCAGTTTGTATCCAAAAGAAACAAAATCACTATCTTGAAAGATACCTGGATCCCCATGTTCATGGCAGCGTCACTTACCACAGCCAAGGCTTGGGAACAACTTACGTGTCCATCAGCAGATGAACTGGATGAAGAAAACATGGTATGTATATAGAGTGTATGAAAGAAAAACATGCTGCCATTTGTGACAATGTGGACAGACCAGAGGGCGTTGTGCTAAAAGAAATAGCTCAAACAGAGAAAGGCAAATACTGTATGATCTCACTTCTATGTGATCTAAACAAAACAAAAAAAAAACAACTCATAAGAAA